GCGAAGACGCGACGCTCATACGACCGCGTGGCGACTGGAACGGGGAGGTAGAGTGGGTGGGAAGGGACGCGCTGCCCCCTCGCGACCCCTCTAGCATAGTTTTCGAGCCATCGCAGCAGCGGAGATCGTTCGTCATCAACCCCGTCGCGTCCAGCGCGGCAGGTTCCTCGGGGGGGGGCGAAATCGTCGAGTCCACCGAGCCGAGCTCCGGAGGCGTTTCGTCCCGACGGTGGCCGTGGGGTGTCTGGGGCTGCCCCTGCCGCCGGACATGGTCTTGATCCGTTCCATACCATGATAGGGTCGGGTCCAGACCATGTCCGGCGGCGAGGCCCCACCCCAGGCGCCTCGGGCTGCCCCTCGGGACCTCGAGCCAACCGACGTCGGGTTCGACGGCTTCCGCATGGTCGCTGCCGTCGGAACCCACTAAGGATCCGCGTCATAGCAGGTCGACGCCCGAACGAAGGCATCCCCGACGCTGCGGAGGCACCTCCCCAGTGCCGATCCCGGCGCATAACGCTCAGACGCCATCGCGAGCGCCGCGAAGAAAAGCCCATGCAACGACGGCTTTTGCCGCCCTGTGCGCTTCAACAGGGGACAAACTCAGAGTAATACCCCGGCTATGATGATGCGCAGGCAGTAGTGGTGGCCTCACCAGCCTAACTGGTCGCACCCATGGCAATGACGCGGTCGCCGCCGGCCGAGGGCGACCGATGGCGCGACCTGAAGCTCTACGCGCTCTTCGCGGCCTTTGGCGGCGGGGCGTCGTGGTTCGGCACGGTGCTCGCCTTCATGGAGGTGCCGCTCTACCAGCGCCACTTCTCGGGCCTCGAGCTGTCGAACCGGCTGGAGCTGGGCTACAACTGCGGCACGGTGCCCGCGGCGGCGTTCCTCGTCGCGCTCGGCGTCGGCTGGCGCGCGAGCCGGCGGAGCCGCGTCGGGCTCGTGCTCGTGCTGCTGTCGACGCACGGCGCGTGCGTCGCGCTGCTCTGCGTGGCCGTGCCCGGGTCGCCCATCTTCGGCGTGCCGGCGCTGGCGCTGGCCCAGTTCCTCGGGGGCAGCTGCGGCTACCTGTCGCAGTTTGTGTGCGTGCCCTACCTCGTCGGGGGCTTCGAGAACGCGCTCGTCGGCGCGTTCTGGACGGGCGACGCGTTCACGAGCGTGCTCGCGGCCATGGTCGCGCTCTACCAGCGGCCCGGCGCGGCGTCGCCGCGCTTCGGGCTCAGCGTCTACCTGCTGGCGACGGGGCCGCCGGTCGTCGCCGCGTCGCTCGTCGCGTTCATGTGTATAGAGCGGACGGGCGCGGGCCGCCTCGCGCCGCCGGCGACGCCCCACGGCGCGGCGACGGAGCTCGTGACCCTGACGCCGTTGCTGCCGGAGGGGGGCGCGGAGCAGCGGCGGCCGCTGGCGCCCATCGACGAGGACAAGCCCGCGGACGACCCCGAGCCGCCGCCGCCGCCGGGCTGGTGGCGCGCGCCCTACCTGCGGGACCCGCTGACCTGGAAGCTCGGCGCCGTCGTCTTCTGGTCCCAGTTCGCGGACTGGGGCATGGGCGACTCCGTCTACCCTTACGCCTGTGCCAACGCGTCGGCGCATCCCGACGTCCAGGGCTGCGAGATGTGGAGCAACGAGCTGAGCCTCTTCGCCCAGTTCGTCGGCTGCGCGGCGGCGAGCCGCGTGCCGTTGGACGGGGCGAAGCTCGCCTACACGCTCTGGGTCCCGACGCTCGTCTACACGGGCTGGTTCGGGCTCCTGCTGTTCACGTCGTGGCGCGCGAGCGACGTGCTCCCGCGGCTCTCCGAGCGGGGCGTGCTCGTGGACCTCGTCATCCTCCGCTTCCTCGGGCCCTACGCGCGCAACGTCATCCCGCGGCTCATCCAGCCCTGCTACGCCAAGGTGCACCACGAGGACCTGCCCGTGCTCTTCGGCGTGCTCTCGGTCCTCGGCAACGTCGCGGGCAGTCTCGTCGCCACGGGCCTCATCGGCATCCACCAGTTCGACTACATCCCCGGCGCCTAGTCTCCTGGCACCGCCCGCTTCGACCGTCGCTTCCGCTCTAATTCGCTCACGATTTTTTTTGGCGTCCCGTGGTCGTATGTTGAACCCAGGTTGCAGAGATGATGCGGGAGCATGGGGTGTAGGATTGCGCTGAGCGCTGGTGATGGCCGCCGAAGACGTGCGCGCGTTTTGCCGGCGCACGCGGCCACCAACAGTATTGCTGCACAACATCTATGATTTCGCCGTCGCGCTGAGCGCCGCCGACGCCGACGCGCTGGAGGAGGAGGTCGGATTTGAGATGTCGAAATTTGGGCGCGTGCTCGATGCCGAAGCCGTGGCCGGGACCGTCAAGGTCTACTTCGACGCGACCGAGTCCGCGATGCGCTGCGCGACTGCGATGGACGGCACGCGCTTCGACGGCCGCGCGATCTCCGCGCGATACGTCGCCGCGGCGGCGGCGGCCGCGGCGGTCCCGCACGTCGCCGCGGCGCCCGCCGCGCCGTCGGACGACGCCGCGCCGTCGGACGATGCCGCGCCATTGCACGATGCCGCGCCGTCTATCGCGCCGGACGACGCCGCCGCGAAGGACGACGACGACGCCGCGGACGACGCCGCGCCGGACGACGACGCGACGGGCGACGCGTCGTTCGGCGACGCGACGGGCGACGGCGGCGGCAGCGGCGGCAGCGACGGC